ACAGCAGGACACAGATCAATGGAGGTAGATTCACTTCAAGAACAATCACAGCGGTGACCAGCACAACAATTACTTATCACAACAGCTTCTCCAGGGGTGGTATTTATATCCATATTCAACCCAGCAAATTGCTCACCTGGCGGTATAGGCGTGGCCAACCCGACGGTTACAGAGGCATTTATATAATCCTGCAAGATCTGTTTCTCTGAAATGTTTGGAGATGTTTGTGCATGGAGACCATGGGAACTATGTACTGGTAGCTTGGTCAAGCAAGAACATGCTGGTTTGTGTCATCTTTGTTTAGTTTACGGGTTCACCTTGTGAATAAACATCAGGAGAGTAGCTTCCCTTAAATGGGAAGCTTAAGAGTTATGTTTGAGAAATGATGTTAAAGCCAGAAAGAACTGTGAACATTATGAGGGGCATAAAAAAAACAGTGAATCAGAGAGAAAGGACATGCACAGAAGATAGACGGAACAGTGGAAAGCGAGTAGCCAGGCCGAGAGGGGAGACGGGTTTTAGATTCAACCGGTTCTTTTATCTGAACGCCCCAAGAAGTAACACTCAGGAAACAAGAATCAGCTTTACGTATTTATTTTCTTCTGATTACATGCAGAGTTATTACAGCGCTGGGCTCTTTGACTCCCTGCACCTCAAACCATTTATATACAGCTCATACACCATAAAACTTGGGTACTATACAATGAATAGGAAATATACTGCTGAGTAAGCTTCTTAACATAAAAGCACACGAAGCAAAAGTAAGCAAAGTAGGCAAAGCAGCAGTGGCTGTCACTACTACTGTGTGTTGTTTTTTCCAGGCGTTTCTTTCTAACTGAAAGTAGACATGTGGTTAGCATCTTATCTATAGTTTCCAGGATGACACTTATCTCTGCAATCAATTTATGCACATTTCACCAAAAAGACAAGAAATACTACTAGTTGACTCAAATCTGAATATTATGACTATGATGCATGCATAAGAGCTTAGGTTAATACTGATACATGGAGCTGTTAATAAAACACAGACAAATAGTCATACTGAACTCTTCCATTATAAAAGCAAAATAATACTGATGATAAATAGAAAAATAACTTTAACTACTGAAATCCAATCCTAACACGGGACCAATCTGACTCGACTGACTGGACTGTATGACCCAAAATGACTGACTCGGTGACAATCTTCTTGTCTGATACTTTTATTCCTTTCTCTGCAGAGATGGTGATTCTTTTCCCTGTCTTTCAAATTATTGAACTGCTCAGAATTATTGTAATAATAAATAATCATTGGAATTGAAATTATTTGCCTGAATTAATTTAGTTCACATCAGACCTTGGCCACCACAAGGGAAAAAACATGGTGGTGTTAGGGTTGCAGACTTGCTTCCTGATTTATACTTTTATTTTGAAAGAGTTTCCTGTTTTGTGCTATCTCACCTGCCTCAGTTTTACTCCAGTTCATGATTACCATTCATTGCCTTCACCTGTTGCCAATTCCTGACTCCCAGTGTGACAATGCTGATGTCCCCTCTGTAACAACTGTTCCCTGGGGTGCTGACAAGAATGTTCCTGCCGAAGTTCCTATTCTTCTGTGTGCCGATGAAAATGTCCCCACAGAGGTGTCAGCTCTCCAGTGCACCGATGATAATGCCCACACTGGGGCTTCTGCTCCTGTCCCACAGTGGGTCAAAGAGAACCCTGACCCAATCCTTTTGGTTTCTGTTTCTGAGCAGAACAGCGTGCCTACCAATGCCTCCAAAACCAGTTTGGTACCTTGGACTGGCAGCAAAAACTTCCCCACTGTAGCACTGGTTTCCTGATGTGTTGAGTGTCCCTGCTGAGGCTCCAGTCCCTCAGTGTTCCAACAGAAATGTCCCTGCTGAGGCTCCAGCTCTCCTGCATGGCTACAAGAACACCCATGCTGAGGTCTCTGTTCCTTTTTTGGAGCAAGTTGGCTGCGATGCCAACACCGCCATTGTTCTTATTCCCAAGCAGGTCAGCGAGGGTGCTGATGTCACTTCTGTTTCTGCTTCTGAGCGGGTTGGCTGGGATGCCTATACTGCCTCAGATGCCGACACTGCCTCTGCTCCTGTTTCCAAGCAAGCCGCCTCTGCAGTTGTCCCTGAGAGGGTCAGCCAGGTTCCCAACACTGCCTCTGCTTCCGTTTCTGAGAGGGTGCTGGCACCGCCTCTGTTCCTGTCCCCAAGCGGGTCGACACCACTACCATCCCTGTTCCTAAGTGGGTTGACCCCACAGCCATGTTTGTTCCTGAGTGGGTTGATGCCGACTAAACCTGTTGCCGAGCGGGTCTGACGGGAGGTTGACGCCGCTTCCTCTCCTGTTCCTGAACTGCTGATTGAAGATGCTGGTGCTACCTGCACTCGTGTTCCTGAATGGATCTGCAAGGATGCTGATGCTGATGATGATGAGCAGGTCAGTCAGGATGCTGACACTGTCTATATTCCTGTTCCTGAGTGGGTCAGCATTAATGCAGCCTTGTCATCATCGGTGTGTGAATGTGTGTGTGAATGGGTGAATGGTGTATGATCTCCTGTAAAGCGCTTTGGCCAGTGCAACACACTGTGAAAAATGCGCTATATAAATACAGTCCATTTATCATTTACCAAACCTTTCTCTGTCCTTGGGTCAACCAACGATGCATCTGTTCCAGTCCCCCAGCAGGTCATTGCCACCTCTAAGCCTATCCCTGAGTGGGTCAACTGCCTCAAAGCCTCACCTGCTTAGGCCTCCGGGTGGACCTCCCCACAGATCCTATCCTCAGAAAGCTTGCTGAAGCCACCGCATATGTTTCTGTTCCACAGAGGATCAACAAGTCAAATGCCACCACGTCTGTTCCCCGGTGGGTCGACAACTTCAACAACACCTCTATTCTGGTTCCGGAGGGGGTTAATGGGCCCAATGCCATCTCCACATCTGTCCCTGAAGGCAAGCCAGAACTCTGATACTGCCGCTGTTCCTATGCATTAGTGGGTTGACATCGACACCACTGTTCCAGTTCCTGTGTCAATGGAGATGCTGCCTCTGTCCCTGATTCTCAGTGGGTTGATGATGACACCACCTCTGCCCGTGTGTCCTGTTGGGTCTCCAGTGATGCCACCACTCCAGTTCCTATACCTGAGTGGATCACTGATGGATACACCACTCCCATTCCAGTGGATCACTGGCAATGCCACCATTTCAATTCCTGTACCTTGGAGGGTCACTAGCATTGCCACAGCCCCTGTTCCTCGGTCCCGGTGGTTCAAGAGAGATGCCACCTTAGCTTCTATGCCCCAGTGGGATACCTGCAACAAGTCGGCTCTTGTTCCTTTGTACTGGTGGGTTGATGGTGACATTAGTACTCCTGCTTTTATGTCCTGGATGGTCCCTTTTGGTGGCACCAACACTTCTCCCGTTCCTTGGGGGTACATCTGTGGTACCCCTACTCCGGTTACGGTGCTCCTCTAGGGGAGATGAATACAAAGACTCAAGCAGCAGCCCAGACCTGGATCTCCTCTTCCTCAGTCAAAACCTGTGAGGTGGTCCTTACCTAGTCTGCCCAGCCCGCTGCAGAGTGGTTCACCCACCGTCACCAGCACCCTGTCCATCCTCCTGAGGGTCCTCGCCACCAACACCAGTTGCCTGTTTTCCTTTTCAGAGTTCAAAGAGGGGAATCCAAGGGGATCTGGACTTTGCTTCTGGTTAACCTATTGGCCTTGGCTTCCTGCTGGGCTCCAAAGCCATCCTCCAAAGCGATCTTGGCTTCCTGCTCTGCTCCGAGGCCATCCTCCAAAGTGGTCTTGGCTTTCTGCTGGGCTCCGAGATGGTCCTCCAAAGCGGCCTTGGCTTCCTGCTGGGCCTCGAGGCCGTCTTCCTGAGTGGTCTCTTCAGCTTCCTGCCTGTTCCCGAGGTCATCCACCAGAGAGTTCTTCATTCCCTGCCCTGTCCCACGATCCTCCTCTGAATGGTCTTTATTCCCTTCCTGGTTTCTCAGTCACCCCCTGGGTGGCTGCACTCCACACTATTTTCAGTGAGCACATCTTTGGCCTATGGACTGTTTTGATTTTTGTTGTGGTCTCCGCTGTTTTGTCAAACCATCCATCCACCCTGACCTAGCCTCTGCTGTATTTGAACCATATGGAAGTATAACATCACCTGACTTTACTTCCAACAGAAAACCTACAACCTCTAGAGTACTTGGTCACATAAACATAACAATAGGTTGTAATTAGCTGCTTGCACAAATAACTTGTGGGGTAATTTTTAATGAGAGTAGAGTACCTCAGTGTCTGTTTTACTGAAAGTTGCCATCATTGGCTGTTTTCACAGCTGATCAAAGGATCAGGACTCAGGGTCACTGAAGGCCAAACAGCAGAAGCCATTTTGTCTTTTGTAAAGGTGGTTTCTTGTCATTGAGTGTGACCCTCTTCTGTGATCATTACTGAATGTATTAACACTAATTTCACATGTAGCTCATTAATGGTTCCACAGCTGTCATAAATCTTGAATAACAAAAATCACTGCTTGAGCGAATCTGAATTCTTCAACATTTGAGGCTGTTCTGCAAAAGAAAAAAAATCAAATTGAATATATCATTGTCTCGGAGAGGACAAAGTAGACACAAACAATTAACAGTAATTAGTGTTTGCATGTTTACAATTTTGGAATTGTCTGACCACATGAAACAAATACAAATTAGGCCAACAATTGTATGAAAAATGCAGATTTTATTCCTTAACAGAATCATTAAGAAAAAGGAGTATTAAATTTGTATATTCATTTGTGCTTGATTATACATTAGTTGATTGTGCATTACATAACATTAAATTCTCTCATCTCCACATGCTATGTCAATGTGAAAAAATACAGTGCAATAAATGTTAAAAGGTAGAAAAAGAAAACTTCAATAACATGATTAGTTTCTGCTTGAGTCTGGTTAACACATGTGAACATGATAATGACACAAAAATGCCTTTGCCACCACATTTTCTAAGTTGTCAAAATGATTGTGATGCCCCTTTGTCCATCATATTCTTTCTTGTATTCTTCTCTGGTTTCATTAAGATAATATAACATTTTGGAATAAAAATACAAATGAGCAGTCCAAAACTGGAGGCCAGAATAGCAAATATCTCTACAGCAACACTAAACTTCCCAGGAGAGCTGACATATGCTGGAATAAAAGTGATCCAGACTGCACAGAATATCAGCATGCTGAAGGTGATCAGTTTGGCCTCATTGAAGTTATCAGGCAGTTTCCGAGCCAGAAAAGCCAGAATAAAACATAAGATGGCCAGAAGGCCTATGTACCCAAGTACAGCCCAAAAGCCTACAGCTGATCCCAGAGCACACTCTAAGATGATTTTGTCCTTGAACTGGGTAAAATTCTTAAATGGAAAAGGAGGAGAAATAGTTAACCAGAGGATACATATAACAACCTGGATGAGAGTGAAAGCCACAACACTGAGTCTCTGCTGTGCAGGCCCAAACCATTTCATCACATTACTGCCTGGAAGTGTAGCCCTGAAGGCCATTAACACCACTATAGTTTTCCCCAGAACACAAGAGATACAGAGGACAAAGGTGATGCCGAATGCTGTGTGTCGCAGCATGCAGGACCACTCAGAGGGCCGGCCGATGAAGGTCAGAGAACACAGGAAACACAGAGTCAAGGAGAAGAGCAGCAGGAAGCTCAGCTCAGAGTTGTTGGCCCTGACAATAGGAGTTGTCCTGTGTCTGAAGAAAATGGCTGCCACAACAGCAGTCATGCATGTTCCAAATAAGGCCGCTGCAGTGAGCAGTACTCCCATCATTTCTTCATATGATAGAAACTCTGCCTCCTTCTTTACACAGGCATCTCTTCTCTCACTAGACCAGGACTCAGGGTGGCATTGCTCACAGGTGATAGAATCTGAAAAATTGTATTAAAGCAGATGTCAGACTTACACATTCATTTTATCTTTATTTTCTGTTTTTCTTCTGTGCATATACATTATAGGGTTATAAGTTAATAAATGGACAACTTTAGTGTCAACATAAAAATGAATTCTGTAAATAATTAAATATATACTGTAGTTCTATTCATAAATTTTCCTAGCTTTGTATTTATTTTGATTTTAATTGCATCGTTTTATTAGTTTAAGAAGTAATTGTAGATTTTGACATAACTCGGTTGTAATAAATAATGAACTGTAGCTGAAAAAGCATACCACAGTGCTTCCCTTCCTTTCACATGGATGTGACTCAAGATTGTCTGAGCATGAAATGGCTGAACGCAACATAGACTGCCCAAAATTTCCCCAGATTTTATCATTTTTCTATAAACAGTGTCATTGGAATATTTTGAATAAATAAGAATTACATGATATTTATCACACCGGGACTTTAAATTTGACATGCACACAGCCCCAAATTTCTTATGACTGGCATGTAAACATGTCTGCTTTATGAATTTTGTTTTGTGGCACACTGAAGTGCCAAATGGTGAATTTTAATAGACCTGTAATGTTGCTTATTTCTCCCTCTGCACATCTGATACAGTCATAGCAGCAGACAGGTTTTCCTTTCTGGAGAACCTTGCGAGTTCCTGGGGGACATTTCTCACTGCAAACTGACACAGGCACCTGCATGGACAAAATTACACTGAAAAATATGTATGGGCACTGACTTTGCAAAGGTTTTAACTTTGCAAACCTTTATTTTTAACTTTGAAACCAAACATAATGATACAGTAATAATAATACACGTACAGTGATGATAATTTATTTAATAACTATAGTTATATGACATGGTCATTTACCTGTTTTGAGTTTTGTGCCCAAATAACAGACTCAAGATGCAGATTCAGCTGTTTGTCTGCTGGTAAAGATGCATCATAAAGACCAACTGTGACAAAGTCCACAATGCCATTTTTTGTTGGCTGCCAGTTTATAATTTCATACTTTGCTGGTAGTTCTCCATTTTCATTAAAGTAAACCTCATCTCCTTCCTTGGTTTTGAAATGAATCTTTTTTATGTGATGTAAAATCTAGAAACATAGGTATCAATTTTGTTAATTATGGCAAACATACAGACTTTTTCTAATTAATTTTACAAATTTCAGCTTTTTTTATTTGCAACTCAATGGCCTAAGTATAACTGATTTAATGTTTAACTCACTGTGAGTGGATCTAGCTGCATCTTGTTACATGTTTCATTACATCCAAGAGTAATATGAACTGCATGTGCCACAGCATACACTCCTTTATAGACATTGTTAAAATGAGGCATGAGTGTCATATCTGGGAAGATGTTTTGCACTCCAGTCAGATCTTCATGTCCAGTACATTCTCTCTGATTATCTGCTGATGAGTTTGACTGTTTGAACTTACAGTTAAATAAAGTCTCCCAGAACTCTGTTAAAATTTCGTTACTGGATGAATTGATTGTCTTGACATTTAACATGAACTCTGTCATGCCACTGACATGTGCTTTGGGGATGAACAGACCTATGGCACCATCCAGAATGTGATGTGTATCCATTTCTGCAGTTTGAGTATCCATGATCCATCCCTC